ACATAGTGGCTGTCACACGGTTACTTGACTCGACAAAGCAAGTCATTCATCCGGAAAAATATCAGGTTCTTGTTGAGTTATGATTGTATAAGTCAACCAAAAGACACTACAACATGGCGCCACACTCTGTACACCTGGGACCACACTCTGTACACCTGGGACCACACTCTGTACACCTGGCGCCACACTCTATACACCTGGGACCACACTCTGTACACCTGGGACCACACTCTGTACACCTGGGACCACACACTGTACACCTGGGGCCACACACTGTACACCTGGGACCACACACCGTACACCTGGGGCCACACTCTGTACACCTGGGCACTACAGTATGGCTGGGCACACTACATTTAAATCCCCGCAGTTACCAACCCTCATTTCACTCGCTCACACTGTCATGGCATGTGATCTGAAGTGACTATCGCCTGAAGTGATCATTTAAACTCTGCGTCATTTCGGGTGATTAATTTCTTCATGTAATAATTATGTCTTAAATGAAAGTGAAGAAGAGAGAGAGAATTTAGAAAGTAAGACGGGGTGGAGGGCAGGGGGGGGGGCACCTATAACCCACCTGGACTTCCACCCACTCTAACCCACCCACTCTCTAACCCACCCTACCCCACCCCAACCCACCCACTAGTGTCGCAACATGATCGTGTAAAACCAACATTCACTCATCAATAAAAGTGATGTTTGTGAAGATTAACGTTACTACAACAATAGTCTGAGTCGGGTAAAAGATCAAGTGTTAGTTCAGTCTTTTTTCCCCCCCTTTAGGTTCAGTCTTTTTTACCCCCTTTATGTTCAGTCTTTTTTACCCCCTTTATTTAGTTGTCTTTTTTTCCTTTATTTTACCAGGAAAACTTTAACACTTGCGATTATACTAAAAATAAATACAAAAATAATATACTGAAAATAAATATCTGTGTGAAGAACATGATATTTGGTGCACTTGTCAGACGGATATTACAAAGGCAGGCGACTTTTTCTCACTAAACCCACAAGAATAGTGATCGTTTATAAAAAAGAAAAATGAAGAAAAAATTCCCTTGAGGTGATATGTTATTTAGTTTATTTTACCTCACGGTCTTTACGAGGGACTAAAGAAACTTACTGTATCTACCTACCTAGTACCTACCTAGTACCTACCTACCTAGTACCTACCTATCTACCTACCTACTCTACCTACCTACCTACCTACCTATCTCTGGTTAATACAAAGTGTTGAAAATGACCCCCGTCCTAATCGACACAGATGTGAGTTTACTGACACACACACACACACACACACACACACACACATTGTATAGAACAGATGCAAATATGTCTGTAGATCCTGGAGCCAAGGTTGTGACCTGGTTTAACGAGGTCAGTGGGCGGAGGAGGGAGGAGTCACAGGTCAGAGTGGGTCGCCAGGTGACCTTATTACCCGTGGTGTTTCTTCCTACCTTTACCTTTTAGTGTATCTCTGTCTGTCTGTTTGTCTCTGTCACTTCTGTCGCCTCTTCACACCTGTTCGTTTGTGTGTGTGTGTGTGTGTGTGTGTGTGTGTGTGTTTGATGTTTGTTTGTTTGTTTTTTGTTTATCTAATTGGTATTTGCTTTCTATTTTTCCCTTGTTTATTTTTGTTTACATTTTGTCTCGTGTTTATTTGTTTATTCCGTCGTTATTGCATTTGTTATCTATTGTTTATCGGTATTATCTGTTTATCTTTCTTATCTCTTTGTTGTCTTGTTCCTCTGTTTGTTACACGAGACGACAAGAGACAATGAGTACAGTTATCTCTCTGGTATCCGTAGTGGGGTGGGGAGGGGGGTAGACGGGGAGAGATAGAGAGAGACAGTTAATAGAGGGTACTAGATACAGCGTGAGACAGGGAGAGATAAGAGAGACAGGGAGAGATAAGAGAGATAACAAATAAATAGACGGGTAGCGAGACTTTTTTTTTAGGTGTTGAAAGAGATATGAGATATAGTAATGTTATATAATGAGATAAATGTCTCTTGAGTGTTAGCCAGAGAGACAGTATTTGGACAGGGGTGGGTGGTATGAGAGACAGGTAATAGGACAGGTGATAACGGAAGAGGGAGAGACAGGTGTGAGAATTGATTGACGGTGAGAGGAGTTGCCGGAACACAACCTTGATCAATGAGTAAACACACACACACACACACACACACACACTCTTCATACCAACTGATAAACAAATAAAACAATTTCCTTTCTTTAATATATCTCTGTCGGTCTTCAACAACAATCTGCTTGTAAAATTAAACTCATCTTATTGTCTACCTGTAGTGAGGTTACCTGTCATTAATTACTACTTTATATATTAATTAAGAATAGTTAAGTGTGTGAGAAGGTTCCTTTGTATTCAGAGGCTGTGGTCAGGGTCAGTTTAGTATTCAGTGGTTGAGGTCATCAGTGTCAGGGTGGGTGTGAAGCGATTAGTTAGCAGTTATGTCTTCACTGATATATTTAATTGTTCAAGAGGTACAGTTCATATGTTCTACTGTTCATTGTCGGGCTGAGTAAGACGCCATGAGATGCTTACTAGTGAGCTGTTTCCCCCTCTCCATCCTCCCCCTCTCCATCCTCCCCCTCTCCATCCTCCCCCTCTCCATCCTCTCCCTCTCCATTCTCCCCCTCTCCATCCTCTCCTCTCCATCCTCCCCTCTCCCCTCACCCCAGCCACTACTTCTGTTCCACGTGTACCGTCTTGATGCCTCAGGTGCTCCTTAAGTGGTAACATAAACACTACAACACTATATAACCCGTAACTATAGAAGCTTGAAGCGTTATTAGTGGTAGATAATGTAAGCCTCAGGTGTTGGTGATTCTTGTTGTAGTGTTTCAGGTATTAAGAAAGATAACTAAGACACTGTATATGGTGTCATGACCGCTGTACATGGTGTCACGACCGCTACACTATGTCATGACCGCTGTACATCCTGCCATGATCGCTGTACACTGTCATGACCGCTGTACACTGTCATGACCGCTGTACACTGTGTCATGACCGCTGTACATCCTGCCATGACCGCTGTACACTGAGTCATGACCGCTGTACATCCTGCCATGACTGCTGTACACTGTCATGACCGCTGCACACTGTGTCATGACCGCTGTACACCCGGGCTCGTGTGCACTATTGGTCGCGATTAAAAATTTCTCTTTGTGCATAATTACGGCGGTGCGCCTTGACCGCCATGCTATAATACTTATGGTAGTGACGCACTTGTTGAGTGGCTCTCAGGGGTGTGTTATAAGTGGTACACCCGGTATAAGTGGTTCACGGGGGTGTGTTGTAAGTGGTACACCCGGTATAAGTGGTTCACGGGGGTGTGTTGTAAGAGGTACACCCGGTATAAGTGGTTCACGGGGGTGTGTTGTAAGTGGTACACCCGGTATAAGTGGTTCACGGGGATGTGTTATAAGTGGTACACCCGGTATAAGTGATTCACGGGTTGTATTCAAGGTAGGTGTAGGAAGGTGTACGTGTGTGTGTGTGTGTACCCGGTGGTGTGGACACTATTCTTGGGGGGTTGACGCCCACCAAGAGCCAAAAGTGACAACACCTGAAAAGTGACACCTTTCACGCCCTCAATTCCACCACACCCTCACCCACCTCCTTATCCCCCAACCCCATCCTGGCCCTCTCTGTTTTTCCTCCCCTTCTCCTCCTCCCATCATCCCCATCCCACTGTGGCTCCCCCTCTCTGTTTTTCCTCCTCCCCCACTCCTCCCGTCCCCACCTCCCTCCTCGTCTTCACCTCCCTCCCCCGTTCCCCACCTTCCCTCCCCTCCTCTCTGGTTCATAGAAAACTCAACGTGTTAAGACGAGGCCGCAATGGAGCATACTATGAATTTTTTTTATATCGTTTACCATATCTTACCTGTACGTTCTTTTACTATGGCTTAGAAATAGTTAATAGTACTAGTAGTAGTAATAGGAGTATAGTAATAGCACCTTAATAATGGTTTTCATACTAGGATGCTTCATTTACCTGAGTTCTTAAGAATCATAAGGTTAAATTTTCTACGAGGCAACAACAACAACAACAACAACACACACACACACACACACACACACACACACACACACACACACACACACACACACACACACACACACAAATATTACTTTCATTAACATTATAAAAAAACACTAATACACTGACTATCTTAATTTCCTACCACTCGTTTTCTTTCGTGATGTTTTGGGATTAAGATATTTTGGTCTGACTATAAAAATTATCAAATAAACGTGAAAGAAATACATAAAAAACTCGTTAATTAATATAAAAAACGGGAGGCGAGGAAAAAGGCGAGGAATACCGAGCAAGTTTTTATGTTTGATAAATATTTACGCGGAAGAGGAGGAGAAGAGGGGAGGAGAAGGAGGAGGAGAGGAGGGGAAGGAGAAGGAGAGGAGGGGAAGGAGAAGGAGAGGAGGAGGGAATGAAAATATTTTTGGGGGGTTTAAGTAATAACTAAGGATCGAGTTATTGCTTGAGTGAGAGAGATAACGAGATAAATATTGAGGTAAGTAAGAGAGATAGTGGACTAAGTGAGAGATAGTGAGTTAAGTGAGAGAGATAAAGAGAGATAGTGGACTAAGTGAGAGAGATAAAGAGAGATAGTGGACTAAGTGAGAGAGACAAGAAAGGTCGTGGGCCAAGAGGTAATGAGACACAGGTGGATAGTTGTGTCTGAGAGAGAGAGAGAGAGAGAGAGAGTATAATAATGACGATAAAGTAGAGGAGGAAGTTAAACCATAGAAGGTGAGTGAGAGGAGAGAGAGAGATAATGGAGATAGGGGCTAGGGGTGGTGAGAGACGGGGGCAACAGGAAAACGGGAAAATATGCTGAAATTATGTTTAGATTGGATGAGAAGTAGAGGGTTGTGGCGGCGTGGATGACGTGAGTGAAGCTAACAGGGTATGGATGAGGGCATGAGAGGTGTGTGGATGAGGGCATATACGGGTACGGATATGGGTGTGGCTAGGTCAGGACGGATGGTTGACAGCGCGTGTTTGTACAATGGTTTTTCACGGCGCGGCCCACCATTAGCATTTTTGTGGGAGCGACACGTGTGTTTGCCACTATCCACTATTTTGAGTCTCCGCTCTGCCAAAGTAGATGATGCAAAACTTAATGGCACCAAACGTCCCTTCCTCTACAGGGTATTTTTGCCTGCATCGTCGTCGCCTCCTTCTGTTAGTGACAATTGGTATTTTATTTATCATTATAATCTTGGTATTTTATTTTTCCTCTTTTGATTTGATTAACAGTTATATGATGTTATTTAGTACCAGTTTAGACAGTCGACAGTCATCTCTCTGTCAACTTCCAGTCACACCTGTAGTCGAGTTGTTGCCCAGCTATAGATAAACCATTTGCCGGTAATAAGATGTTACTTGAGGACCGGTTAACACAATTGCCGGTTCCTTGTTGTGGTTTGGAGGTTAATGATGATTGTTATGTAAATTTATGTGTCTTTCAGCGGACGTCACTTGGCAAGGATAAAACGTTCTGGAGAGTTGTAGTGTTGACAGTGGCACAATTGAGAAGAGGGAAGGGGGAGCGGGAGGGGGGAGGGAGGGGGGGGGTGAGGAAAAGGGGGAGGGGGGTGTGGGAAGAGGGGAGGGGGTGTGGAAGAGGGTGGGGATGAGGAAGGGGTGTCAGGGTATATACTGAGAGAGAAAGGAGGGGAGTCGCTGTTGGTGTAAGCTCCCCACCAGATAAACCGTGCTTACTGCCATGGACTTGACGTATGGCTGGTTTAAGGCTCTATGACCTTGGTGTGTGTGTGTGTGTGTGTGTGTGTGTGTGTGTGTGTGTGTGTGTGTAAATTTGCTCTGTTGCACACTGTCACACATCACACACACATACATACATGCATGCAGACATATGTACCTGGATACATATACATATATATATATATATATATATATATATATATATATATATATATATATATATATATATATATATAAAATCACATAAACACTAAAATTAAAGCGCAATATACATAGGAACAAACGCACAAACATATACACAAACAAAAACACAATTGTCGTCATTTTCTTTCTCAAAATAATCACATACACTTATACTTATATTCATACACACACACACACATTTGTAAACGACTTTGTGGCTTGATGACCGACCTGTTCTTTGACGTGACAACAAAAGCTAGTTTTGTCCTCCTCCTCCTCCTCCTCCTCCTCCTCCTCCTCCTCCTCCTCCTCCTCCTCCTCCTCCTCCTCCTCCTCCTCCTCCAACCCCTCCTCCCCCCTCCTCATCCCCACCCCTTCCTCCCCACCCCCCTCCTCCTCCTCCTCTTCTTCATCATCTTACTCCACCTGCTCCTCGTTTTACTCTTCTCCTTTTCCCTTCCTCCTCCTCCTCCTCCTCCTCCTCCTCCTCCTCCTCCTCCTCCTCCTCCTCCTCCTATCAGCTTCAGCTTCACTTATTTAACAGCTTGACCCCCTCCTCCTCCCTCCTCCCTCTCCCCCAACCGTCCCTTTCCTTTGTATTATTCCGTCAGTAATTTTTTTCTGATGATATCCTCTGTACCTGCAGTCTCTCTCTCTCTCTCTCTCTCTCTCTCGTGTTTGCCTAAGAGATATAACTTTTTTGTTGTTATTGATAAAACTTAATACATAAATGATAAAATCTGTTGTTTCATTTAAGATGTCGCTTCCCGTCTTAACATAACCAAACTGTTTTACCTAAAGTTGTTTATATTATAAGTTATAGTTTGTTAGTTAATGACGTGTGTGTTGTGTGTGTGTGTGTGTGTGTGTGTGTGTGTGTGTGTGTGTGTGTGTGTGTGTGTGTGTGTGTTCCTCCCACCTGTTCATCATACCTTCTTCTCTTGTTTACTCTATCACTCTCTTCCTGTAGTTAGTCCTGTCCTCCCTCCTCCGTCAGCGCCCTCCTCCTCACCTCCGTCAGCGCCCTCCTCCTCCCTCCGTCAGCACCCCCAATATCTTCTCTTTTTATCATTTAATTGGTTTTGTCCGCCATACTGCCCCCCCCTCACAGTTCGCTTCTCTCACAGTCCTACCCCATATTTCCCTCTGTCTTCCTCCACCGCCTCCCCTCCTCCCCTCAGCTGCATCTACCCCTCACCCCCCCATTGCATCTCCTTCACTCACCTCGTCGACCCTTACCCTCCATTCCTCCCTTCTGCATATCTCCATTATTCCAGCCCCTTTGCATCTCCTCCCCCTCCTCCGTCCCACTGCCTCTCAACCCCTACTGCATCCCTACTCAACCCTCCCTCCTCCCTCCTCCCTCCCTCCATCCCATTTCTGCATCGCTCCATTACTCTCCCTCTCTACCCCCCCTGCATCTCCCCTCACCCCCCAGTCACCCCCAACGCGCGGCGGCACACCCGACCCTCCACGTGTTCGTCACTAGGAGCCATTTAGTGTAGTTATAGTTTTTGTGTGGAGGTGACGTTGTGTTCCTGCTGCTGGTGCCGGAGTGAGGCGGCCGCTCCTCCTCCTCCTCCTGCTGCTGCTGCTCCTCCCATCTGGATATGGACTCCGGCGACGACCTCGACGGTACTCACCAGCTGTAGGAGGGAGGGGGGTGCTGGGGGAGGGGGGTGTTGTGAAGAGGTTGTAAGCTGTGTTTTTGGTGGGGTTGTGATGTTAGCTGGTGTTAAAGGTAGTGTGTTGTTGGTGTTTTGTTTTTAAGCTTTGGAGGTGATAGCTAGCGGCTGTTGAAATGGGCCAACTCGGCTTAGTGGCATGCTGGCTGTCATGTCTACACACACACACACACACACACTGGTGATCGAGGTCATGTACCTTGTGTCTGTAATGTTGTTAACCTCTTGGTGTCTTCCTCATTCCTCTTCTTCCTCCACATCTATTTCCCTCTTTTTCCCAGTTATTACCTCGACCCTCTTACTCCCATACATCACCACGTGGCATATAAACTGAGAATGTATTTTCAAGCATTAGTTTTTTAAGGCATCACTTGAGGCATCGCTTATCCGTACCTGTCTGCCTCGTGAGTCTCACCTGTACAGTTTACCTTAATGATGACAGGTACCACAGGTGATTTAAGATACCTGTACTAAATAAATATATTGGTATTTCGTTGATTCTAATTGTGTTAATATGCTGTTGTGTTGGTATTCAAATGTTGTGTTGTGATGATGTTTCCCGTGTGTTGTGTTTCCTCCCGTGTGTTGTAGTGTTGTGATGTGTTTCAGAAGTTGCTGGAAAATTGGAGGTAGAAAATTTCCACATTTTATCTGGGTTGTGATAAAGTGTTGTTGTGATAGTGTTGTTAAGGGTTATTATATTGTGTTCTTTAAGGATTATTAAGAATTGTTGTGATTGTAGTGTTGTGATAGTATTAGATGGAAGTTGATGAGAAGTTGTATTAGTCTTGGAGGTTGTTGTTGTTGGTTATGAGTACGTTAATGGTTGTGAGTATGGTAATGGTGGCCGTAATAATCATGGTAGTGGGTTGTAGATATGGTAGTGGTAGTTTAGTTACGGTAATTTAGATTTGGGGTTATGGACAGAAGTTATGAGGTTGTTTAAGCATGGTTGTTGGTGGTGTGGTTGTTAGTATCACAACACGGACTCATTCTGGTTGTAGTGAGGAACAGAACACACATTAAGGAAATTATCTGTATATTTTATCTTGTATATTTATTAAGGAAAATAATATAAAAAGGTAATTTTTATCTACTAGAGAATTATATAGGAAAATATAGTTGTATTAGTGTTATAATTAATACAGGTGTGTATATTTTGTGTCATAGCTAATTATTAGGTCTATTTATTATTATTAATTATATCAACAAAAATAATCACATTTCTTATTACCAAAAAATATAAAATAAACTGTTTTGAAATGCCCGCCACTGACGTCATCTCTTTGTTGTTGTTTTCAGTGGCCGTGACGTCACAACCTTCCAACGAATCGGAGCTTCAGCTGTACCGAGTGTTACAACGGGCCAACCTCCTTAATTACTACGACACGTTCATCAGTCAAGGTAGAGTGAAAGGTCATTATGAAACTACAGTCAGTATAGTCTCAATCATAAACTTTGAATGTTGTCTGTGAGAAGCCTATTGTATGTAGTTTTATATTTTGGTTTTTTTGTTTTAATTTAATATGATTTTTAAGGCGTTTTAGGGATGCCAAACTGTTTTAATTATTGTTTCCTATTATTTTATTTTATATTTTTATTTTAACCCTTGATTTTTTTTACTTTATTTTTTGTTTTTATTGTGTTTTTCTTTTCTTGTTTTATTCCTGTTTTGTTCTAGTTTGTTACCGCTGCCTGTATTAAGTTCGCTGAGCATATAGTGATCAGTTCCGCCTATTTCGGTTCATAAAAGCCTTGTTGAGAGTTAGTTTGTCATGGGGACAAGTCAATTTATTCAGTATATTATAATGTTGTATATATATATAATGTTCCTATATACCTTATAGCAATATATATATTACTACAGTAAACACCTGTAATATCTGGGTTACATACGGTACAATATGGAGTACAGTACACGGTGTTTACAAAGTCCATATGGAGTACAGTACACGGTGTTTACAAAGTCCATTGAAGAAATTCCACTGTGCATCAAAACTAAGAATATGTACACTATATTATTTTCTGTACATGACTGTATTTCTTCGCTATGTACACTCTAAAATAGCATTGTACGGGGTGTGTGTGTGTGTGTGTATTACAGCCCCACCTACAGGTTACAAGGTGAAAGAAATACAGTAAAGTACAGGAAATGATGGTGTAGATACAGTGCACATCTACGAGGGGCTGCTGTAAACACAAACATCAAGGGATTTTGTAAACATCACATACAGAAGGTTATCAGGCCGGTGACTAATCTTTAATAACATACACTAGTGAAGATAACAAAGATAACATGATACTAATAACATCAAGATAACACAATCATATTATACAACTGTTTATAAACACAACTACATCTATTACCTCTCTAAGTACACTGATGTAATTATACTTCATCTATAACTAAGTACAGTGATGTAATTATACTTCATCTATAACTAAGTACACTGATGTAATTATACTTCATCTATAACTAAGTACAGTGATGTAATTATACCTCATCTATAACTAAGTACACTGATGTAATTATACCTCATCTATAACTAAGTACATTGATGTAATTATACTTACCTATAACTAGTCACTGTTTATATTGATGTAGTGACAATATTTTCTTGGTCTGATTCTTCTTATAATTTAACTAAAACCTCTGAGTCTTTCTGCTCTGTTAGTTCAATAGTTGTTCAGTTTTACCTCCTGCTCATCCTCCTCCTGCTGTCTCTCCTCCTGCTGCGCCTCCTCCTGCTTCTCCCCCCCCCTCCTCCTCATTTGTCGCCACGCTAGTAGTGTTGTCTGCCTAGGAGTAATGTTGTCTACGTGGGAATAATGTTGTCTACGTAGGAGTAATGTTGTCTACGAAAGAATAATGTTGTCTACGTATGAGTAATGTTGTCTACGTAGAAGTATTATTGTGCATGTCGGAGTAAGCCCATACTTACCAATGACGTCATCCAGGTAACAGCAGTATTTACATAGGGTAATTAGTGTAGTGCAGGTAGAGGTGACGTCAATGCCATAGAAACTGCCAACGCCTTTATGACTGTGAGTGGTATCTATGTAGGTCCTCCTTGAGTGAGTGGTAGCTACGTAGGTCCTTCTTGAGTGAGTGATAGTGAAGTAAGTCGTCCTCGAGTGAGCGGTAACTAAGTTGTGTGAGTCATGAGCGGTACACGGTGTGGTAGGATCCAATTTCGTGGTGGTGTAGTGGTCGTGTTACTTTGGTGTGGTGCACTTGGCCTCCTCCTCAAGGCTGTGGTAGAGTCAGGGTCACACTGTGGTGGTCACGGGTACTAGAGCAGGAGTGTATTATGGTTATTTATCAACAGCTGTAGTAAAGTGGAATGGCCTTGTAATCTTGATAAACTCTTACTTAATAACAGTAAGAAATATTTAATAACTAATATATCTAGTCAGTGTGTGTGGTGAGGCAGCTAGGTGTTGTCGCGTCAGGCAGGTCTGTGATGTGATACTTCAACGCTCACTTCTATAACAAAGGACCAGTGCATGATTTTAAATTCGTAAAAACTAAATATATGTAGTTAAGATTATTCGATAGTGTGTGGTTATAAGTGAAGCTTTAAGCATTGTGTATTAGCAGCATGAACCTTTATATATCAACAAACTCAGTAGATATGAACCAGCATCAAGACGCACCCTGCTGGCTCTTCATTGCCTTTATTGTGCATGGCATTGTGATGACAAATATTTAATCGAACCAAATTTCTCCCATTGTCCAAACCTTACAGTGTACATTTCAGACAGTTGAAAAAAAAAAAGTTGATTGTTTTCATATATATGTACAATGATTTGCTGCAGTTTATGGAATGACCATAAGCCAAGTACTAATGATTTTAAAGTATTTAAGAATTATATTATAGTAAATAAAAACATAACGTTTGAGTCAGGTCCTGTACAATGATGATGATGTCCTCTGCATGACCACAGTCTCTGTCCTCGCCTCAGGGCCCCACCAGCCACCTGTGTGCTCCTCCTCTTGGTAGCTTCTGTACCTCGTGTATTTGAGAGGTGAACGTTCTAGACAACTCACCTACTCGCGGCTGTTGCATGACTTACAGCCAGCATGAATGTCTTGTCAGTATAATGGTGAAACAACTCTATTTCCTAATGGCAACCTCTCGACTATCTTTTATGTCATTTAAGGCAGATGTGTCTACCTGTTTGATGCTACCTGTAACACGGCTGGTCACCCTCACCACCACTACCACCACACACAGTCTATCTCACCATATTTAGTTTGTATGTAAAAGCCTCAGATTTATGTAATTTATGAACGGGTGAACAACATACAGTACAGTCATATATAGTCTTGTATTCTTATCTTTATTTTGCCGTATACAGTTGTTGTTTTTTCTGTGGTGGTGTTATTGTGTTTTGAAATATTTTCTTGACTCATGATTCACATAAAGTGGTTTTACTTTATATTCCTTGCCCAAGTGGCTCGTGTATATATTATCTGAGTGTGATGCGTTAGTGCCCGTGATGACTGTACAGCAACCATCATCGTCATCACAGGGAGTCACCACACGTGGATTACTTTGTTGTCTACAGTACTCTGAGGTCACCCAACACACGTCCAAGTTATCGATCAAGATGCGTTCAGTTGTTTTTGACTTCTTTTTATTAGAGTTGACTGGGTGATGTGTGGCCCCCAACGGCACCAGTAGAGGAGGTCTTGTCTCAGGTGATGACTTTTATGTATTGTTTCATTGATGGATACATGTAGTGAGTCAGCTGATGTAATCCTTGTGGTTGAGCCAGGAGACGTAAGTCCTCCGGCGAGTCCACTCTCCGTTAACCCACCGCCTCGTTAATATGAATACGTCGCCCACGCTGTGATCCTGCCTTTGGTGACCAGTGAACACAAGGGCTTTACAGCTGACGTTTATGCCACAAAGATGTGAAAGCTAAATTGTTTTCACCTGACTTAGATTTTAAGTATCTATTATGTACCTGATGCTGGAGGGTCAGTGTCCTGGGGGAGAGCATGACTAACTGTGGCTGCAGCTCCGTGTACCACTACAGTAATATCTCTCCACCAAGACGGTCTCCGGAGATCTTAAGTGTCATGAGAATTTCCTCGAGATATTATTTGCCAATACGAACAGCAGTTTATCTATTACAAGCGCTGAAACTTAATTTACATTCAGGCGCTGAACAGAATCCTTGACCACATTCATGGACTGCTGTATCATGGCACTGAATGTACATTCTCTAAAAACAATGGTAGGAGAAAAACTGTGATGGTGAAGTGTGAATGGTGCCTGCAGTGGAGCATGGCATGTTGACCACGATAGGCATCTTTGGCAAGTTTTACTTTACCACACGCTTACCTCACAGGCCCGAGTTGGTCAAGGTCTCTATCTGATGCACTTGAGTACACTTGGCAGCTGAGATTAAACTTGTTGTGTCACATCTGGACCAAAAGGAGGAACACTTAGTGCAGTTTGTTGAGGAGAACCTGTTGTCTTCCTCACCTGTGTTACACCTTCATCTCTCTCGCCTTTCTCCTGGCTCTCACTCCTGGAATGAGTCTCGCTCAGAATGTGTGGTGGTTACTTACACTTGTGGAGACAGTCACCAGAGGTAGTTGTACGCTTCCAGAAAAGGTTGGTTGTAGCGTTAAAGCCTTGTGGTGGCTGGAGCTGGACCAGATGTACTGTGTGTCATGCAATGTGATATTTGTTTAGGTTAAGGTTTTTGCTTGTGGTCACAACTTGATCATCTGGTTACAACAGGACTGGTTTTCTTCATACTTTTTTTTTTATCATTTACAAATATTTGTTTCTGGGTGAATGTGTGGCATGAAGTGAACTTGTTACTTGAGTTTTATTACATTAACGCACTTCACACTGCTAGTGAAACGTGTGTGTGTGTGCGTGTGCGTGCGTGTGCGTGTGTGTGTGTGTGTGTGTGCGTGTGTGCGTGTGCGTGTGTGTGTGTGTGTGCGTGTGCGTGTGTGTAGTCCCCGGCACCTGTCTTGCGGAGCATCTGCACATCAGTCACAGCAGTTTAGTTCACTGAGGAAACACCTTAACGCTGCCTGGAGGGAGGAGGGGGGTAGGGTGATTAATCTTAAGTTGAAATAAGTTGGGATGACTAATTTTCAGGTGTATGTACTGTACAGGTAGTGGAGTGTAATATGGGTCACCTGTCGCTGCTCCACTACTGTGAGGGTCTCATAGGCGGCAGGACTGCCATGGGGTCACAGCCCAGTAGGTTGAGGGAGGGAGGTGTGTTGGCTGTTGTATCACCTAAAATTATTAACTCAATTTTCTTGTATCTTGTGCGCGCGCGCACACACACGCACACAGACTTGTATACACACGTACACACACACACACACACTCATATATATATATATATATATATATATATATATATATATATATATATATATATATATATATATATATATATATATATATATATATATATATATATATATGATGAAAGTTATTGAAGGTGAAATTCCCAGGTAAAAGCACTGTTGCCGACAATCACACATGCCGTCTAAACCCTTCAACACAGGCAATTTAACCTCATATATTATGCATTACTTGTAATTTGACAAATACAAAGTTCAGGAATTTTCATTAGAGAATCTGTATACAGTGTTATTTTCATCAGTGACAGAATTAAATATTTTTGGTAGTTACCTGTGTCGTGTGTGGTGACCTGAGAGACGTGTCTTGTTGGTCTCCTTTTCATCCCCTCTTCTCTTTTTTCTCTTCTCTTCTTCTTTCCTCCCTGATAACCTATTCTTCTCTTTCCTCTTCCCCCTCCTTGTTCTTGTTCTTATCTGTTCGTTACCCCTTCTCTATTTATTCCCTTTTCTCGTTCGTATATTGTGTTCTGCCAACCATCTTTCTTTGGAGGGAGGGATTGAGGTCTTCTTCCCTTCCTCTCCCTCTGTTATTGTGTTATGTTATTTCCCCGTTCGTATCTGTTATTCCCTTCACTATACCCTGTCTACGTCTCTGTCTTCTGTCTATTGGGTTCTCTCTCACTCTTGTTATCTCCGTCACTTCGTCGTCTCTTACTTCCTCGCCATCATCACCATCTTCCTTGTCTCTGTCCATCATCATCATCATCATCATCATCATCATCATCATCATATTAATCCAAAACTTTCGGCGACCTCACTACTAACGATCGCTACTGCACTCAATAGTTCTTGAATGACTGACTCACTACTTCGTCCTCCTTGCTACACACACTTCTCTTCTCCTTCACTTGAGTCTCTGCCCCTCTCCCATGTTCTCAACCTCCCTTGATTATTCTCCCTTCCCCTTGTGGACACCTCCGTCAGTCCGTGTGTCTGGCGTGTATCACAAGGGATGGGTATTATCCTTCACCCCGCCTCCCGCATTCTCCACCACCGATATCTGGCCTTTCTCCTCCAGGAGGCGACGACGTGCAGCAGCTGTGCGAGGCTGGAGAGGAGGAGTTCCTGGAGATCATGGCCCTCGTAGGGATGGCCTCCAAGCCCCTACACGTGAGGAGACTACAGAAGGCTCTACAAGAGTGGGTCTCCAATCCTGGTGAGTACCCTCGTTGTGTTCTTGTGTACAGGTCTGCCTGGTGAGTGACCGGCACCTCCGAGTGTTACAGAGGCTGAGGGCAACACTGTTTGTCTTCTTCATTTTATAAAAATATGTTAAAATTAAACATTATCATGAAAGCAAATTTGGGGAATATTATGAGCAGCGCTGAAGGCTGATGACACTCTTGTCTTGAGAGTGACGACCACGCTCACTACACTCAGCAACTTAAACCACAAGCCAAGTCAACACACTTAGTAAGAGTCATAAATCTACCTGATACACCTTATTGTATACTAAACCTAAACAAAGCGTGCAAGCAACACTTAAAACTATAGTGATAATATATGAATCATGCGATATACACCTTCTCTATAACAAAAGTATTGGGCCTATAGTGCGAATTATTTATCAAAAGGTTACAGCGAAAAACGTGAATCATAAACAACATGCAGGGGATAAGAGAGTATACACCACCAGACTCGATCATAATACATTATAAGTATTATAAAGAGACTTATAAACAGAGGAACAAGAGGTCCACATAAAGGTTCTCATTAACCAACAGCGTCAAAATCGACCGCCGCCAGACCCGCCCAACAACATACCGTACAGTGAAATATTCAGCGGACAAACTGGCTGGCTGGGCGGCCCCTGGGGGTCCTCACTCACCTAGACGTGTCCACCAATTCCCACGACGGACACACCAAAAATCCTGATTAGGAATAAAAATAACAGCTTTCGAGTTAGGGTGAAAAATGTCATTAAAAAAAAAAGAGAGGAAGTGAAGGAGGGAAAAAAAAAAACACCTGAGCAGCGAATTCAAAATTGTCAGTAGCGACGTCGAATTATTCCCCAAAACAATAAAAAGAAAATGTTGTACGTTTTGAATAGTAAACGAGATACTGAACAAGTTTGTTGATTTTGTTGGATATTGGGATACGGGGAAAAAATCTTGCGACATTAACTGAATTAAGTTGGTGCAGAGTTAGCAATGTGACGCTAGGAAGCAAAAACAACAAGAAAAATCCCGTGTTTTTTTTTTTTTTTACTTGTGTGGGACAAATTGCCAACTTTTGTCTGCATGTTGAACAAATTACTCTCTCTCTCTCTCTCTCTCTCTCTCTCTCTCCTGCGAATTTTTTACTGTTTTTGTCGTGTCGCCGCTGAGAAAATTGTGACTGTTCTTGTTGATGTTGTTTATACGAGTGACTCACTATTATTGCCTCCCTCGTCATCACCGTCACTGTCACCAATGTCACTGTCATCACCATCAATGTCACTATCACCATCACATCACTATTATCACCACCAATGCAAATTCTTATTATCATCTCCCTCACCACCAGCAATACCCCACCACCACCGACAACAATAATAATAATAACAACAATAATAATAATAATAATAATAATAATAATAATAATAACAACAGCAGCAATAACAACAACAATAACAACAACAGCAACAACAATAACAACAACAATAACAACAGTGACTACATTATAATATGGAAGCTGCAGTTATTTACACAGAGGACCGCCATGACTCCATCTTTAAGCGACCGAGTCATGAATACTTAACCATGACCTCTGTTGACCTACCCTGACCTCTCTCCCTGACGTCATTATATTTTTCCTGACCTCTCTGGTGTCATTATTGGTTTCCTAACCTCTCCCTCTGACATCACATTTTCCTGACTTCTCTTTGACGTCATTATAACTTCCCTGACCTCTCTGACGTCATTATACCTTCCCTGACCTCTCTGACGTCATTATATCTTTCTTGACCCCTCTGTGACGTCATATCTTCCTTGACCCCTCTCTGACGTCATTACATCTTCGCTGACCTCTCTGACGTCATTATATCTTCCTTGACCTCTGTGACGTCATTATACCTTGGAACCTTCTCATACTGGGTGTAATAAACTTGGACAGATATACAATTAAATATTCATGCTCGGACGACACTTGAGCTCTCCTTGTTAGTGTGTGTGTGTGTGTGTGTGTGTGTGTCAGATAATATAAGTTTATGCGTCGTGCACACCTTATACAGACATCCCCTCATACCTGCATCATCGAGACTATATCGTGTGTTGAACCTTTATGTCACACAGTAATAATTCTTCTTGTGTATCTGTGTCACCTCATCTCTCTGACCTGTTACGGGTACTCTTCTCGCTGGGTCAAAATTGTGGGCGTGTGGGTGGTGTGGGTGGTGTGGGGTGGATGTGTGGGTGGGGTGGTGTGTGGGTGTGGTGGTGGGGGTGGATGTGTGTGGGTGGGGTGGGTCTTGTGTGTTTACTGTCTCTAGAGTAATGCTTTCATATGTACTCTGATGCGGAGTTTCCAGTATCCACATTACGAGGCTGAGATCTTTTGTTGAAACTTCAGCTTGTAGTGACCATAATCCTCCCTCCCTCCTACTCTTCTCTCCTCTTTCCCTCCCTCCCTCCCACTCTTCTCCCTTCCTCCCTCCTACTCTTCCCTCCCTCTCTCCCTCCCTCCCTCCTCCCTCCTACTCTTCTCTCCTCTTTCCCTCCCTCCCTCCTACTCTTCTCTCCCTCTCTCCTTCCCCCTCCCTACTCTTCCTCCCTCTCCCTCCCCTCCCTCCCTCCCTCCCTCCCTACTCTTCTCTCCCTCTCTCCCTCCTACTCTTCTCTCCCTCTTTCCCCCCCTCAGCCACCACCTTCAGCACGAAACACTTTTACTCCCCTAAAAGCATATAGTCAATAACTGTACTTCACCAACAAACTAAAGTGAGGAGATGTGCATTATTTATTGTGCTAGTGATAGTTGTTGTTGTGGTTGTTAGTTGTGGTAGTGGTCTCGTCGTCCTCCCCCACCAAGAAACTCGGACAGTGAGACAGCCAACAATAGACCAGAGTGGGTAGTCGATAATACAATAATAATGGGAGCTGCTAAGGCATTTTTCCTGATGTAAATCTGACAGGAAAAAATCAACAATGGGGTTCCAGATGAAGAAGCTGGAAAAGACCTGACCAGAGGGAGGGGGAGCGCTGGTTTTGTGGGAGAGGGAAGAGAGGGAAAGGCTTGCCGGACGAAATGAGAGGTGAAGGGAGTGAGGGAGAGGGAGAAGTAAGGACACGAGGAGTGGTGAAGAGAGGGGGAGAGAGAGAGAGAGAGAGTGAGTTGATGTGTGGAGGGAGGAGAGGAGGACTGCTGGTGTATGACTAAACGTAAACAGGAAGGGAAGGTGATGAGAGTTTGTTGAACACAAGTGATGGGAATATAGGAATGACACACACACACACACACACACACACACACACACACACACACACACACACACACACACACACACACAGGCGTTTTCACATAACCCGTAGATACACACAACACACATACATCAAGTCAGTAACATTGAAAGTCAGACACAATGAAAATGGACATGTACACACACACACACAGGCCTGTGAGGCAGAAAGAAACAAGCGGAGAAAGATTCATATATTCACAGACGGCAATAAAACAGAGAGAGAGAGAACAAAGACAGGAAGAAAAATGGTAGATTGGAGCAAAGAGGTCTGAGAGGGTGGGTGAGAGGAGAGATAGCTAGAGACCTGGCAACACACACACACACACACACCGGAGGCAACGTACGTACCTACAAAACACACACACACACACATACAGGTACAAAAATGTATATTAAAAAAAGCAACGGAGGAAGGCAAGGCCCCCAACAAAAGTGTACTACTGACCATTGTAAATAGGAAAAAAAAAAGAAAGAAAAGAAAGAAAGAGAAGGAAAAAAAAAAAGATCGCAGGGTGAAAAGTCATGAGAATAGTCAAAAGAAGAGGAAGTAATTGGGCCGAAGAGGAATAAATAGAGTGAGTGGGAAGGAGAATGAAAAAAAAATGGACGATAAATAAAGCACTATTAAAAGATGCAGGAGGGGAGAGCCAAGTTCAGAAGCAAGAAGAGAAAAAAAAACCAAACACACACATTGGGAGGAGGAGGAGGGAGGGGGGGGGGGACATGACTGCATGGATTATTAAGTACGGTGAATGTTGTTACCGGCTCTTCCAATGGACCCCAAAATGCTACCTAAAAATCGCTTTGGGGTGGGTGGTAGGGAGGAGGGTAGGGGTGGAGAGAAGGATAAAATTGGAGGCTTCTTTCACTGACGCTAAATTGAATGCAGCTTTGTTCAGGTAGCGTAGAGCGCAGAGTGGAGAGTTGGAGTGTTTAACATGGACCGTTTTTCAGTAGTCTGTAACTGACTGTGATTTCAAGTGTCTTTTTCATTTAAACCGATTTCCTTTTAGAACTTCTTATGATATTTTTCAGGGGGTGTGAGATGGTTTTTTTTTTAGGAGGGTAGGGAGAGGGGGCCGAAAGTTGAGTCTCTTTCCGCTGTACCTCTTAACCTCCTTCCCTCCCCGTCCCTCCCCCCTCTTTCCATCGCCTCCCCTCTCATTCCCTCTCCCTCTCTTTCCTCCAAACTGAAGTCTTTCGCCGTGTGTGTGTGTGTGTGTGTGTGTGTGTGTGTGTGTGTGTGTGTGTGTGTGTGTGTGTGTGTGTGTCTGTGTGTGTGTGTGTGTGTGCATGTGTGTGTGTGTCGTGGCTAGAAATATGTTCATCGACTTCTGTCACTTGGATTCTAATTCATGTTTTTATCTAGACGTGATCACCCTCACCCCCAACCCCTCACCCCCTCACCCCCAACCCCTCACCCCAACCCCTCTACCCCCAACCCCTCCTTCCCCCCAGCCCTCTGCCCCTCACCCCTCACCCCAACCCCATATCACCCCCAACCCCTCACCCCCCAACCCCTCACCCTCACCCCCAACCCCTCACCCCCAACCCCTCACCCTCCAACCCCAACCCCTCACCCCCAACCCCTCACCCCCGAACCCCTCACCCCCGAACCCCTCACCCCCAACCCCTCACCCACAACCCCTCACCCCGAACCCTCACCCCCCAACCCTCACCCCCTCACCCCTACTAACCCCATCCCCCCAACCCCATCACCC